GAATGATATGGTTCGGCTCTCATCAAATTTCGATAGATGAATAGTTTATCTCATTTGAATCAAGAGAACGGTTTTCTTAACGAAGCTAAACTTAATGTGAATGTGATAAAAGCAAATTTATACATACCCAGCAACATAAGGACAAGCCATACTTGTACCAGAATAGGAAGCATATGCAGTGGGCAATTTTTGAGCTTTGGTAGCGAAGGATGAAATTGTTGAATAAACATAACCACCAATACCACTAATTTGTGGTTTAAATAATAGATCACCTGTGAGACCAAGTGATGAGAATCGAGAAGGTGTTCCGGCTGTTGGCTTAACGTCAATGAAAAGAAAAGAGAAAAAACTTTTGAGTTTACTTCATAAGGGATGCAACATGAAAATTATTTTTGTCTAGTTTCATTATATTGGATATTTTCAGTTATAAGTTTCTGTTTGTGTTTTTTTTGTAATAGGAGACATTGATTTATTATTGTGAAACGGGTTTTAGAGCAAGTGAATTGAAACGCTCTTTGAATGGTTAATTTGACAAAAATTGCCTCCTTCAATATCTTAAATAGGAGAACTGTGTTTCGAAATTTCTGCAAAATGTAGAACACTCTCGAGACAAGCTCAAAACTTAGAATGAAATTGAGAAAAAAAAACTGCCAGTCGACGGAAACTTCGTAGATTATAAACGGACTATATAATGACTTGTAGCATTTTCAGCAAACTCTAAAAATGTTCTGATCTATTTATCACAGTCATTTGAGTCGATCCATTTTCTACAGTGTCAAAACTAAAAAAAGAACTACTCTTTATTCGAATGAGATTGAAAGAACAATGTCAAATCTAATTTTATGTGATACATTGCTACAGTAACAAATCGAAGTTTACTTACAACAGGCCCAAATTCAAGTAAATTGGTGAATGTAAACACAGCTGAAGGATTTTCTGTCGTTATTGCAGTAATGCGTTGACCATCTGCTAAACTAATGCTTCCACTTGGAATACTCGCAGATCCTGAAAGACAAGTTCAAGTTAAAACGAAAATGAAATGAAACAAATAAAACCTGAAATGGCACCAACATTATATATGAGACAACCAATTGCACCGGCTACTGCTGCTTTATCACATCGAACAGCTGAGTTACACAAATCTCCAGAATGATAAGCATACAAAACAACCGCGCCTGTGACTGACTTCATCGGACCATTGCATCCATCATTGGCTGTAGCGTGAGGATCTACTCATTATTGTCAAAAAAAATCGATTATGTATATGAAGTATAATGAAAAGGTACCATTGATGACGATGTTCGAATTTACAGTGGATTTCCATCCACCAGAAGCGGCTCCGGGTGAATAGAAAATTTTCTCACCATCAGGTGTGGTTAAGTAGAGCTGGGGCGTATGCGAGTTGTCTATTGAACCTATTGCCATTGCACCAGATGAAATAGCTGGACTTCCACTTGTTTGAAGACCTTGAGCTCCATCATTTCCTTGCGAAAACGTGATATAAACTAACAGAAGAATTGAAAGTATTAGAACATTCTTAAATCGAAGCAAAAGATATTTACCTCCTCTCTCGGATACGAGTCGAGCGGCCATTGCATCTGATGTTTCTGGATATGCACCAGCACCTCCAACTGACATTGTAACTAAATATAGTACAGTCGCATCAAATGACCATCATCAAGTCAAATTGTAATTGTAGATGAAATATTTAAAAGTTAGACTATGAAGTGATCTATACTGTTAAGATAGTTAGCTATAGAGCTATCTAATTATCCATTTTTATATTTGAAAAATGTGATTCATCAAATATCATTTAAAGTCAGCATTGACTTTGTCATAGTTTGAGTTGAATCTTAAGAACTGTCGGAATCGAACTGACATCAGTCTACTCATTATCGATGAATGTATTTGCATACGAGCAAAGAAGATAAGCTTGGCATTTGAAGTTCGAAGTGTTTGGATCGAAGATCTTACTCTTAATAACAATAAATTTTGAATTTTTCGAATTTTTTGGGAATAGTTTTAGATACTGATGACGATATTTTGAAAGACATAAATATCAGTTAAAAACACAAGAGAAAAGAGCGAGAATTTGCCTTTCACTTGGTGCTATCCTAGATAGTAAATATAATGGTATTCATTTCCATACGATACTAATATATGGTCATTTATTACGAAGCATGGATTTAAAATGTAGAAAGTTACAAGAAAAAGATTTGTCAAATAAAAAGAAGTCATTTTGGGCTACTTGGAAAACCTTTGGACCTTTTCAAAAAATATTTTTGATGAAGAGTCTCATTATGTTCAGATCGACTTACTTATGTCAGCTTTATCTTGGAATGCGCGAAAGATCGCCGCAGTCATGAGATCTAGAAATATGTTGAAAAAAATTTTATTTAACACAAGCAAGTTTTGAGCAAGATAGTTTTCTTCATGCTTATATGTACCTGTGTAAGTTGTGTCTGCAGCACATCCAAATATACGATCTACACCACCAAAAGAGTGAAGCTGAAATGAGCTATTAATGAGAGAAAACAGGTAAACTAACATGCGCCAAGTGTTGCCTGAGGAGCAACACCAAGGAAGGGTACAATTGGCATAAAACCAATTTGGGATATTTCTGTAGCATTAGCAGCAATGATTCCAGCAACATGAGTACCTACGATGAACATAAAAGACATTATATGATAACTTTAGATAATGAATGGAATATGCATAAATACCATGAGATGAGGCAGAACAATCATCAATTGGATCATCGTCAGACACTGGGATCGGATTCGATGCACTAAATCGATCTCCGACAAAATCTAGAAACATATCAATCATTATTTCTCTTTTTATTCTGCTAAGAGTATAAATTGGCTATTACCGTGACCAAATGCAACTTTACACTGAGATCCAAAGCAGCCTCCTAGGGCAGGATGGAAATAGTCAATACCACTATCAATCACAGCAATCTATGCAGTACAAAAAAAAAATTATAAATAAATTTGTTTTATCACAAAACAAAACCTCGATTAATTATAGGACATATGGTCATGACAATTTCGAATTTTATAATAAGCAAATCAAAGTTAACATGCTTGAAACGATTAGATGGAAATAATTAGATAGTCATGTGTTTTGTAGAATATCACTGTCGATCAAAGAGTCACACTTCTAATTTTCACTGACTTTGATTGGTATTCAGAAATATCTATATGAAATCTTTCAAATATTTATCGGTACAAAGCAAAGATTGTTTTCACTGCATATCAGGTATACTATTTAATTATTTTTCTAAATTTTCTATCTAGCAAGAACATAGTGTAGAACTTTTTGAAAATAGACTTGATTTGCATGCTCAAAAAAATACGAAATACCAAATGATTCAATGATTATAGTATAAATTTTATTTCGATTATTCTTTGAAAAAAAACATAATTTTAGTTGTTATCGTTTTATCTTGTTTTTTCGATAGAGAATGAAACTTGATTTATCTCTTAATTTCTTACCCGAACACCTTTTCCAAAATTTTTCATTTGATCATGAATCTGTGCGACACCTGTCAAATCGTGTGCAATAGCTGGAGCTTCTTGATTGTTATTCTTTTGATCAGATGAGACGTAGTTGGTGAAAGGTTTTGGACCAGGAACAGAATAAACTGGATAAACAGAAATCACATCCGGAATAGATTCAATTGCTTTGATTGAATGCTCGAAATTCACCGAAAACGATGCTCCAGAGAAAAGTGATGTAGAAATAGTTTGTCGCATGGTGATGGCCGATCGTGGAATTCCACGAGATCTCCCCAGAAAGTCAATAATCAATTGTTCGAAGTTTGTGATACGTGCACGTTGATCGAATTGCACCAGGTAAGTTTTCGGAATAAGCGTATAATCATTCATAGGTCCGGCAGCTGAATCAATTTCCGATGGTTGTTCTTCCTTGCCAACTGTAAAATCAGCAAATTTCTGTAGAATTTCTAAAATATATAATACAAAATGTATACTGTGTTGTGAGGCCTACTCTAAAAGAATACATACTAAAAGCACCATCGACATCATCAGATGCATTGGCGACTACAAATAGTGCCATACCGAACATCAGAAAGAACATTCCTGGTATAATTAACTTCATATTCTTATTTTTGGCTTTGAATATGAATTACCGATTCCCAAGATAAAACAATTGATGAGTTCACTATCTAGAATAGATGTCATAATAATTAATTTATAACTGTTGTCAAAAGTATTAATAATTTGTTGCTTTTCAATATGCTATGAGCTGTGGACGACAACTACTTTATGAGAGCATATTTCAAATAATTAAATGTCGTTGAAACGTACGAAAAAGTCAATCAGATATGATTGTGCTTGTGTTCACAGTAAAATGATACAAAACGAGGCAGTTAGTACATTAGCAATCATCACAAACAAATTGCAACTAGGCATTATAATCGATTTCTTTCTTTGTAGACACAATTTTCTTATCTACTTATAAAGAAAAAGATTCAGCTATTCTTCTAACACGAAGACAATGATATTGTAGATCTGGAAAATAGAAAGCGACATAGAATATTATTGTCCCTTAATCTCAATTATCATCATTTCTCTGAACAGTTATGTTATAAGTCTATGCATACGAGAAAGTTCATTCATCTTATAGAATCTGTTTCTATACACTTGAGTGAATTGTGAAAAATGTATCGAAAGAAATCATCAGTGTTTTACTCACAAGGGGAAAAAAGCTGACTCCGATGCTTCGGAGTCAGTTGGAGTCATCGAAGACTATGAGTGACTCCACCGACTTCAATTGACTCTGAGTGTCTCCACCTGACTCCACTGACTCCGATTGACTCCGTTGACTCAAATGCTCCAGAATCAGTTGTTTTTTCCTTGAGTTGGAGTCAATGGAGTCACGGAGTCAACTTTTTTCCCCTTGTTTACTCACGACCTTTAGAAGACTTTGAACTTTGTTGAAGAAGACCTTTGGAAATATTTATATAGCTCAAATAATACAATACTTTATTTCGGTAACATTGCTGACGTGTCAGAGTAAAGTGTCCAATATAAAGTGATTGTTTGAATTGGAAGAATATATCGAAGTAACCTAAATTAAACTTGTAAAGACTCTGACTTCTATTATCTGTTGCTCTAGCTGGAGAAATCATTGGTACGAAATTCAATCCATTCAGTGAAATTAGAGTGGGAATATTCGTTTTTTTTCCCTTTCCTAGAAACTTTCTTAACGTCCTATATTCTCCATTCTGACGGCAATAAAAACGTTTGGTGTGAGTGACAATGTAGTGTTAGTAAGTTTTGAACCACTACATTCACTGATTACCACTATAATAACCCAAGGGAGGAAAAATCTTAGCAGTCGGCATTCGTCATTAACTCCCTGAAAACCAATTGGGTAATCTTCTCGGAAATCATTTTATAAATACCGACTTTATATGGAGACCTCGGTTTTCCATTGATCCAAGTAGTCGAATTCCAGATATATATCACACTTGCAACCATTTTGTCATGAATACATCTATAATCCATACCTATAGTATAAAATAATTGTTGCCCTTTTAACACCAACCATTCCATGCAAACCATTCGATAGTTTTATATAGTCTTGTCGCAAATAATCATAAAACTGTCCCAAATGATAAAGTATTCAAGTTTGCGACATGGTGAAATATGATCGTCATAAAAATGATAGAGAAACAATGGCTTACAAGGATCGATAGCCATAAATTTTATGATTATTTTCGATTTTATCTCAGGGTTTAAAATGGCTAACAAGAGTCTTGTTTCTAATCTTCAAAATGTTCTCAGAGTTTTGAAGTCATCGTGTTCCTTAACGAATCAACATATTTATGATCGGTATTTATGATCATTTTCGATCATCAACAACCTTAAGGGGCTGCATAGTTGTGTTCTTGAAATGCGTTGCCACGACATGCACTTCAGTTGATAATTAGGAACGGATCTAACAGTTATATTTTTTAGATCTATATTCAGATTGTTACATATCTATTGGTCAATGGATATTTTATTGTTTTATGGATGATGTTGTATTATTTATCCAAGTTTTTCATACGTTATCATTCTTGAGTGCTTGTTTTTGGCTTATATGAGAACAAGTGGGCTGAATATTTCATAAAGTAATGATGGAGCGCAATAGCTTTTAAGGTCACATGATTTATGGTCTGTAAATGAAATCATTATAAAATCAGCCAAGTTAATGATTGATCAGTAAAATAAATGATAGATAAATGAATTACTTAAACGGTCTGTTATTAATTAATTCGGTTTATACATAAATTTCAAAATCAATAAAACATAATTTACTGACAGTCGATGATATTAAAGGGTTAGTATGAAAATTGTAATAATTATAGAATGCATTATTTTTGTTTTTCTTTTCCCACGTAGACCTTAAAACGCCATCAATGGATGCGACGAGTGGTCAAAACTAGAAAATATATTTTTGTTTCTTGTTCTGTGCAAATTTCGAGTCACTCTGTAGTGATCGAATGCCAAGCTTACGAAAACCTTATCTCATAGACCATTTATTTTCCAACCCTCGAACACATTTCGTTCGCACAAAAACCATAGAAGTTTCGACTAATCGAAGAGAGAAGATCTATCAGACAGATACTTTCGATTATTCGATATATTTCTGATCAGTCGGAACTCATCAATCTATCATGTGGTGCGAATGTTGGTGCGGAGTGGGTATGATTGAACATCTTCTTGAACCAATTACACCCATATCCCACCGAAAAACTGACAGTTTGAGCGGTTTACTCCTTTTTATCGGGGTTTTTATAATTTACAATGTGAATGAGCGCGTGGCTGTCGACGTTGATACAGATGTATTTTGGGTGATGAGTATGAGCACTCATGTGGGAAATATCTGAAGAGAAGACGCACAACCATTCTTACAGTCGCGAACACCCAAACTGTCTCTATCAACACTATTTAATTTTGCTACTATTATAATATAGTATCATTATTTATAGTTGTTCCTTAGTTGTAGATTTGCTTTATAATAAGCAGATATGTTTAACATATTCATTGGGATCAGACATGCATTCTACTACTTATTTTGATAAATAATTTTAGGAAAGTATGAACAGAGGGTGTCGATAGTTTTACATATGTATTTAATATATGAAGTGATTAAGAGATCGACAACTGATCTTGAACTAGATTCAAAGTTGAAACTCATTAATTAATATGCAATGTTCCTTTTTTGTCTTTTTATTTAGAAGCAACACAACATGATATGTACCAAAAAAAGGATATCAAAATTTTGAGTGTACCGACAAGATTTCGTGATTTGCGAGTCTTCGAGCGTGACTCTTATTAAAAGGATATTCGATTGTTCTGGTAACTGTTGGTAGTGAGATGCGACGTTGATTGTTAGCTTGATCTGGCCTTGCTACGTATTTCTTTCCACTTTTGCTCCACAGTCGTCTGTTTCCTAATTTGTCACAGAAGGTTGTTCGTAGAAGTCGAATAAGAGGAATAATAATTATTTTTAAGATCAAAAATTGAAGTCCGAATAAGTCCAAACACAGCACTAAAACAAATATGTTTACAAATGTATTTTCATCTAGAACTTTTTCAATAATACAACTAATTATCCCAAGAAATATCGAAATTTTAGTATTTTGTATTATTTCGATTTCGTCACAAAAATATTCACAATTCCTATTCTCCGTTACTCAAATATTAATTGTTTGGTTTAAATACGGTATGTGAATGAGGTGATAATTATTCATTATTTATCATCATTACTAAGTATTACAGTCTTACTTGCAAATAGAACCGTACTAAACACAATTTCATATTGACGAGCAATAGGTTCTTGTGTATTCTTCATATAAAATTCAGATTCAGTTATAACTACAACTAAAGTAGTTTTTTTGGGTACATAGCGAAGATATTCAGCACCTAGCGAAAATAATAATTCATCTGATAGAGTATTAACAGTGAAAGAAGGCAACCAAATGCCTGTATATGTTGTATTCTCATGAATTGTCAAGCCGGCAGTTCGATTAATTACTTTAGTCATTTTCACGTTTACTGTTGGATCTTTTGTTAGTGTTTGATTTGGAGTGTAAAAGAACTGACATGTATTCATTTGTTGAACCTTCGAATAAGCATTAGTATTGATAACTGAAGGTGCTGAAAAGCAGAGACGAAGTCCACCGACAAAATGTGGCCCATTTAAATTAAATTGCATCGCCACAACATGTTGCGGTAATAGTGTAGTAATGGTTAATATTCCATTACTTTCCAAACAGTTGAAATTTGTGAATGGAATGCTTAATCCACGATCTCGATTTTGTTGCAATATTACATTTTCGCATGTATAACCTGTACTAATAAACTGAACAATTAGAGTTATATTCTGTTCATTTAGTAAAGTAAATATTGGCTTTTCGTTTTCGTGTTCTAATGTTGAGAGTAACTGTAGTGAACTTGTCAGTTTAGCATTCAACAATCTATCATCACATGATGCACTTTGTCGTTTTTCAAATGATGTTTCCTCGATTGGATATAAATGAGCAAATGATATGCTAAACTTACAGACAAATGTGATTAGAACAAGTAATGATAACGATATCAGTCCACCTAACCAATGTTTTCCTTCGCTAATAACATCGAAATGAGAGAAGAGTTTTTCAAAAAATTGTAGCCGAATTTGAGATTTCGAACAACGTGAAAGAAGTTGGATCATAATAAAAATCATTATACAACAACCTACTGCAACACATGTCCAAAATAGAGGTGAAACTAGCACACAATGTCGATTTTCGAAGGATAATTGAAAAATATTCTGCAAAAGTATATCATCAAATTCTGTTGTATGAAGTGACTCTGGATATGGATTCGCCTGATCATAACTTGTGATGTTTGTCATGTCAATTTCATGAATAGCACCGCTAAAACACCATAATGTATCATTAGTCGTACATTTGACGCACATCTCTCCAGCACTACCATCATTTTTCGAACCGAGTGGACAAATCATACAAGGTCCAAAACTTCTCTTGACTTGATGAGTACTTGGTATACATGATATTGATTTATATATTGCTATGGCACCATATTTCTCTATTTTTGCACTATAATATCCTGGAAGGCTTGCAGGTATAAGAATCACAGCAGGAGCATCGACAACTAGACCAACACTATGAGAATTCCATGTCATTAGACTAACTATACGATGAGGTAATGATTGCAAACGTGTTGGTTCAATTTCTTGTTGATTGTTTGGAAATACAAAGAGTGGTTTCGGTGTCTCTATCGTTTCATTGAGAAAGTAAGTCTATTCAGAAAAATAATCCAATCATGATAAAAATTAAATTTTATGAGGGAAACAACAGACCAAATACGCTTCCTATTGTTTTAGGAGTTTCAAAATATAACTTTAAGTACGACCGAAACCTAATTGGATCACGAAATTACATTCCAAGTATGTATTCGACGCTCCCGAGACTTTGTTGAAAATATATTCCTGTACGAACAATTCAATCATTCAAATAGAGTTGAGCTAAGCTCAAAGGATGATCTGTCATGCAGTAAACACATCGAATTGTATTTTCATTGAATACCAAGAAACAGTAAATAACAATGTTATATATCTTAGAAAATTTTCGATATTAAAGGATTCCATTTGAAATATTGATTTTCATTGGCGCCAAAACTTCGAGCTATAGACATAGAGATTGTCTCTTTTAGTGGAACCCTGTTTAAATATGACAAGTCTGTAATTAATACACAGTGAGTCTGACAATAGTTTGATTTATCATTCATAATGTGTCAACAAATGCTTCGAAGATCCAATGATATTTATCTATTTCAGGCAAACTCAGTCTGGTCAACCTTGAAAGTAATCGTTGGTTAAAAGATCTTATGATAGCATAAGAATATTTGTCTCGTATTTTTCTGACTATGTGCAGTTAGAGAGACTGACTGCATAATGCTCTTTGAGAAGGATAAATAAATGATGGATTCCTTCAGAACTGATGATAACCTACAGACCTTATGCAGCATTAACAAATGACTCTGATTTCTAACTTTGAAACAAATCAAACGACTAACCTGTATTTGAGACGATGACCACGGCAGAGTAGGTTTTAAATAGACTAGAACTGAGTACGTGTTTGAATCCAACATTGCAACTGATTTTCCGAATAGAATATTCTTTTGAGGCGAGACATGTTCTTTTATAATATTTAGTGACTCTTTTTGAAAGGAAACAATGAAAACAGTATCCAAATGTGGAACACCAACGATCATCATCTTCGATTGTTCATGAATCGAAATTGACAAAGTCGCATGTCGAGTATGTATATCCACTTGCCATATGAAATTTTCCGATGATAATTTTTTCATTTGAAGTGGTATTGGATTGAATGGGTCGGAAAGCTTAGCAGAATACAAGTAAGGAAGAGTTTCTCTTTCATCTGCAAGTATTTGATAGGCTACTAGGAATAAATAATGATCGTCCGTAACGACAAGTGCTCGACTATAGAAAAAATTTGTTCGATCCCATAGATCCTTATTTTGTATTTTTATACTTTTATTATGAACAATGTCAAAGTACAGAGTTTCACCTAACTGTACGACATATGCGTGTGTACCATATGGATTGATACCAAGAGCAAAAGCTTGGAAGTCTTGACTTGAATCCAATTCTCTCCATAGAATATGATCCAACGGAGTAATACAAATAGAAGGATGTCTCAGAATCACCACTAATAAATAAGTCTTCTTCCAACGATCTTCACCAATCACTGCAAATACTGGACGACTTTCATTTTGTTTGGTACCCATGACTATGTTATATACATAATTGAGTGACGACATATTTCCATTCCATATAGACAATGATGAATAATATAAGGTACAAGTTATCGGATTAGATGAAAACGGTTCTTCCATTATTGTAAATTGATAATAATCGTTCTCTGCAAAAATCGCCAGATTTTCATTAACAGCCAATCGATCTCCGAATGCATCATAATCATTTCGATTAAATAACTCTTTCGTTATCCCGCTAATAAATGGTAATGTTAATAAAACAATAAAAACGTTGTACATTCTCATATATTTTGTTGAGTTGGATAATTATTTACAGTTCAACTACACGCGAATAAAACTACAATCAATATAGAAACTATTGTGACTGGTCTTGCAATCCTATAGACTTCTTTTTTTAATGACACGGATCTTGAAAGTGTCATCATTTTTTTAAAAGTAAACAATCAAATCGGACAAGCTTTCTGACTACTCAAAAACGTAGAAAGGGTAAAATTCTTCATTTCAAGGTTGTTGACAGTGGATAATAGCTTTTCTCTTTATCTTTAATTGGATATTACTAAAAAAGAAGAGATAATCTTTAAAATATGTGCTCAATTTTGTCGAATGTTAAAATTGTTGAAAAAATCCATACCTCTATAATCAAGCGTCGTTGTCTGTCTGTCTGTTACCAGGTCAAAGGTCAGAATGTTGAGCGAATTGGCTGTAGAAAGAACTCGAAGTTTATGGAAGGCTCTAGAAGATTTCGGATATAGAAAGGTATAATAGGCTCTGGAAGATCCTCAGAATGCAGTTGGAATTGTCTAGAACTTTGTAGAACTCTATCAATAACGTATTACATTGCGTGGACAAAGGTAACCAGTGGGTGACCAATGGTCAATATTGACTATTACTGGAATATCCCAGAACGCACTTGAAAATTCTTTAATCCATACCTATACAATAATTCACAGCGGTCTGTATATCTGTTACCAGATCAATGGTCAAAGATCAAATTGATTATTACTGAGTTGCTAGAAAATTCTCGGATTATGTAGACTCTACTACAACGTAGGTGGTATAAGGAGTATAACAGACATACGGAATATAGGGACTATGAGAAGGATAGCGAATATAGGTAGTATAAGAACTATATCCAATATAACAGTGTATAAGGACTATAGCAAGTATAAAGAGTGTCTAAGTATGTAACAAAAAAACAGTCCGTGCAGTATGCACGGGGTCTGGCTAGTTTGCTATATTTCCTTGAATTCAATCATTCTCAGTTAAACAAGCATCCAGTTCTTGTCATAATGACCTGCATATTAGGAACTGGTTTTGGTATGTTTGCCATAGAAGTCATCTTTGTAAATTTTAATAAAAAATGTGAAAATGAACGTCTAAACAGAAGAAGTATTTTTGTTTTTGACAAGGACTATTTTCAAATGTTGAAAAGACATGACGGCACTATTCTTAGAAGAGGCTTGTATAGTTTTATCGAAATGATTCTCTTTAGTGTTATTCACTTACCAATATTAGTCGACTTTCGAGTGATATATTAAGAGTTGACTTATGCTTTGCTCATGTGTACATATTTATCAAAACTTTTATCTGCAGTAAATATTTGTTAGATCAATATAAAAGCCTTGATTGTGAATAAAGTAAGTATAATTATTGAGTAGAAATCGGATACATTGCGTCATATTCTACCTGTTGAGAAGCTTATTTTATTCGTATGTTCGATAAATAAAGAAATTCAGCATAAATTTATCAATGACATAAAATCCTAATCAATTATTGAGTCACAATACGAATCTATTCATACTAATATTTGTCATGTGATTATTATTTTCTGTTCCTTACTTTTATTTTATTCTATAACTTAAAAATAAAGTTATCAGTTTATATGCATATAGAAAATAACTCTCAATCGAGTTCTTCGTTCGTATTAATTTTGAGTACTTGTATCAAACATAAGAATATAAGGTTATATTTTTTCGCAATTGATCAATGTGATTTTTTTAAAAAGATTTTTAATTAAGTGCAGAACAATTCTAAATAAAAACTAGAGTAGTATAAAAGAAGAATTATTTATCTTATTCAATGGTTCGGTATTCATCAAAATTCACTTGTTATATGTTCAGTCAAAGATTGTATGTTGAATAATTCAATAATCAAATTTTGTCTCAAGAAGGTAAGGTTAAATTTGCAGACGTGAGATTCAGCGAAAGTGTATGAAGAATTCTAAAGAAGAAAATATGAGGAGAAGAGTTTTCAAGATTTAGAAAAAAATAAACAAATTAACTTGTAATGATTGTCGAAAAAGAAATGATTGATAAAAGTTCTATAAGACTTGGAGAATTAAACAAAAGTGGTGGACAACAATTGTAATAGTTAAATTAAATTTTTTGTGCAATCAGATTAATAGATGTATTTATAAAATTGAGTGTTTTTTGTTTATTTAATAAAATATCTTGTTGATCGATGGCGAAAAATTTATTCTTACATTCTTACTATTACAAAAGAAGATATTATCCGACAATATATAATTTCGAAGATTGACAGGAGTATTCATGGCTCATACGAAAAGAATTCCGTTAGGAGTTATTTTCTGTCTGGATATAAACTAATTTTGTCGTGTCTCAAAAAGAAGAGTTGCTTTGTCCTTAGCATCAATTATGTATCAATATCGTCATGATACCAATAAAAACTATATTCATCTATTCAAAATCATAACTGTGGATATCAAATCGAGCAATTCACCGACATATTAATCAATTTAGACTTCTAAGAAAATGCAATACACTCTATTGTGATCGGTCAGAATATGATGGTTCTCAAGAGGTCATCCGTTGGGTTTTGAAAAAGGAAGGCCATAGTCCTTTTGAATTCAATCTCACCAAAGAATATTTATTTAGTACACACTATCAAGATTAATTAAAATGGATCGTACCGTACAAATAAACATTCGAATCGACTTAGCAACACACAGTTGAATGGGATGCTAGAAGTATAGCTTTAACTTTTGCGATAAAAAAAATTCCGAAACCGATAAATAATTTGTCTATATTGATAATAAAATCTTATTTAATGTATGAATACGTATTTATTTCTTGTTTATCTTAGTAAAGTTAAGCAATACCTTTGAGAATTGTTTCTACAGTGTGTAAAAGGTATATGGATGTTTGTGTTCGATGTGTGGTTGAAACCGTGGAATTTTCTTCGATGTCGATGTTCCAACTAAGCCTAACGTCTTTGTTTTTGCAGCTATGGACAACAGAGTTTATGTATATTTCTTATAGTGATCAGAAAAGTATATTTAATCCCTGATTCAACTAATTCATGTCAAAATAAACTGGTAGAGAGCTGAATAAATCTTTTTTATCATGAGTAATGTCAATTCATGAAGATTACTTTGCATTACTTAAATTAGTGATTGCAAGATGTGTAAGAATTTCTTATTAAGTCTTTCACTTCATAGACTAGCTCAAAATAATCAAACTTCCATGGATTATATCTATGTAGCTTCGATATTCATGAAGAAGTATTTATCTTCATTTCAGGTATATTCTGCATGATATTATATTTGATTTATAAACCATTTGACAATAATTTTATTCTTAAATATTGTAGAATACTTGTAGGAATATGAGTGTATTAACTTCTAATTGATGAGAATAAATATGAATATAAAAGAGTTAGCATTAGATTTCCAAAAAGAAACGAAAAAATAAAACTTATAATTAGATTAATCGATTAGTCATACAAATAATTTTTGTATAGCATTCAGAGAACCAACTAGCGCGGGAAATTAGGTGGTTTTGGAAACATGGGTCCAGCCGGAAATTGAGGTGGCATCGGTGCTATTGGTGGAGTCGGTCTTAGAGATGCAGATGAACCTACAGAAGTAGTTGTTGAATCTTCACGACAGCTCGATGAAAGTATATTGTCCGATCGATTAGAGTCATGTGTTTTGCGTGAAGATCCTAGAAGTGGATAATCTGATTCAATTTCTTTCAATTGAATTATATGAAGATCATTGCCCGAATCAAGACATGAGACGACTTTAAATTTTCGAGCAGCAACAAGTAATATTTCATCTTCTGTTGGAAAGAATGAATGTTGTTGAATATCTTTTCCAGAATCACAATCAATATTAAATAGAGTTCTACTGCCTGTCTTTCCAAGAAATTGTTCTGATTGAAGTACTTCTATTGAACTTGTACATGATGAAAAACCCCACCAAACAAATGTTTTTCCAATTGGATATTGCGTACTTAAATTCATTTTTACTCCTCGATATGTTGTTTTAGATATTGATGGTAATTTTTCAAGTGCCGTAACAAATAATTTCAAATAAGGATGCCATGGTTTTAATTTTTCTTCATCTTCGGCTCGTAAAGTATTATTAAGAATAATATAGAATGAATTTTCTCTTGGTTCCCATTCAAGAGAATAGAGCATAATTGAAGTAGATTCATCAATTGTTAAACCATCTTTTGGTCTATCACATTTTTGTTTCGCTTTGGATACCATTTCTTTAACGTTCGGAACAAGTGAAACAAGTGGTTCTACAGCAGTTTCGATCGAGACATTTGGTACAATATCGAATCGTACAATTGGATTTTTCGGAATTTCAGATGGTTTAAAATTCTCAATAACTCGAAGGGCATGTTGTGGTAAAAATCTTTGTAAGATATTATGAGACATTTTAGGAGAAGAATGTACACTTGCTAAATGATCGTGAAATTCCTAGAAGATTTTCAACAAAAAACGTACGTGAATATTTACTTTCTATAAAATTGTATTCATTAAATTAGATCATTTTTCGCTTCTCTCACGAAATATCATTGTAGAAAAAGTCACTCTTGCACATGCAAATTTTAACAGAAATCATTTTTATTATTGAAAATCATACGAAAACTGATTATCATCATTGATAAAATAAAAAATCTGGGAATCAATAATTTTAAATATAAAAATATATTCACTGCAAACAGTGGTTAGTACGAAGTAATTCAACGTTTTTTTTACAAAAAAATTTGATTTCATAAAACACACGAAATTATGTTTAAATTTCCGTTTCTTTCAAAGATTTCAAGAATCAAGACGAAATTCGAGCTTCAAAATCTCTCCTGTAGGTGAAGACTGATTCAGACTACATTATGATAAAAAATAACACAACTAACGATTTCCGATCGCCAAAGAGGATTACTCTTGAAATAAAGATTTTTTTAACAGGATCTTCTAGAGAATGAGTCATACTTTTTAATACATATGAAAATATTTTTGAATACAATTAAAAAATATAAAAAGTCTTCATAATTTGGGGAATTTTGAATTCAAATCTATTAGATATTCTTCACATAGAATCCAATATTTTTTTTTGTAGGAGACATCATGAAATATCTTCTCAAAAAAAAATTGCATTCTAAAATGTTTTGACACTGAAATGCAGAAAAATAAATTCAATACAAACCTATATTGCTTGTGCTTATGAAGAGAAAGAATGATTAATAACTACTAAGGTTTCATTATCTACATTCGTATTATTTATGCTCGTAGAAAAAGAAAAATATGAAAGAAAAAGAGTCATTATACACATTTTTTTTTGTATCAAAACATGATTTATAGTTATATATGCAATTTTTTTATGCTATAATGATTTCAAGGATACTACACGTGCATTTCAAATCATACAGCAACATTGTAATAAAATATCGCTTGATGATCGAATTTTTATTGAAATGATTGATAATTTGATACGGATGAAACTTTCTACTGTATATTCATACCGTTCTTGACTATGTTAGCAATTATATTTCGAGAAATATACTCTTCATGGTTATATTCCATTATTGAATAATCTGGCTTCGTGCCGATCTTACATTTTTGACATTGCTTCTATAATAAACTAAATGTTAGCTTTTTTCTTATATTCCTATATTCTTTGAAAAATTCAAGATGCTTTAGAAAAAAAGTCACATGTATCTTCAAAAAGTGCCTCACACATAGTGTAAATATTAAGGGTCACATCAATAGATATATATATTGTGATGAAAATTAAATTTCAGTTAGATTTTAAATTTATCCAGTCAATATTAAAATTTTGATATCGCACAATAACAGGCTATTCACAATTAGACTCTGGACAGTTATAAGATTCGACACGTATATGATGTAAGTGGGGAAAGGTGAAAAAAGACTTCTCATCTTTACACTTTGCTCAAAAATAAGATTCTTGTTGCAATATCATAAATGTATTTTCTATTCTACCAAATTTTGTAATAATTTTTAACAACATTAGATGAATCTCTGATGTGTTGACGCAGCTCGATTAGATCTAATGAGTAATTTTTCTTCGAAAGTCGAAGTAAACATAAGCAAAGAAATTGTTTTGTAGAAAGCAGAGGGCATCTTTTGTAACTATTTATTTAAGACAGTTGTTGTGAAATAAAATTGAAGTTAGATTCTGATTCTCTGCATTGGTTTTTTCTATGTAACTGTAATGAAGAAAACATGAACATAGAATTTCTTAATTGAAAAAGATTGTTTGCGTCGTGAGATAGCACGAATTTTCAACTTTTTCTTACTTGTAACCAGCATTATTCCACATGTAAGTGATGTAGGTTGCTACAATTTTAAAAGTATCAGAATTGACTCAGAGGAATATTGGTACAATTTAAAGTGATTTAGTACTTCCTAATAAGAGATATTCATAATTTCGTAAAGATGATGCAATGGTACCGCTAGAGTATGATTTACACATGTTTATCACAGTTTAAAATAAATCTAAAATACATCGACCATATTTTTTTTCTTCCAAAAACAATTGTTTCAAAGCTTTCTACAATTCGAACATCTTTTTATTTAGTTCATCCGATACATACAGAAAGAAGCCGTTAGTAGTCTATAATGTTATTGCAGCGTTTTCCAGACTTTTAAAAACTTTTTGTAGTGAAAATAAGTGTCCTATATAGTTGAGGAGATTCCTATATGAACAATGCTTTTTTAATTCCTATATTTTCATCAACTGGCATTGCGAAGCCAGTTCATTATTATCTACTAATCGACTCAATATCTATGATAAAAGAAATTTCTTTTTCTTCTCAATTATCTATTCCATCTCATTAGTATGACACAAGTTGATGATGAACAAATAACAAATATAAAATCATTAGATATGACATCTATACAATTATTAACGTCAGACAAGATGGTTCAAAAATATAGTTTGATTGTAAGTTAGAAATCTCAATTTGATCGATTGATTGATTGCTTTCTTTATTCTTTGGATGGGCGGATTTATCTACAAATTTAACTAATGATGCAAGCTCAATCAAATAAAAGTTAAAAGAAAATAATGATAATTATTAGATATAGTGTATCGTTCAACGACAGTTTTACAGATAACGGATATTCCATAATAAATAGCTCATTTTTATTTCCTAACTTCGAAGCATTTAATAATTTATTTTGAATTTTTGGTTTTCGAATAGATTTTTCGCATCACAGTAAAGTTAACAAGATCAACGTCTTCTCAATCGTATGAGTACAAAAGTCAAAAATGCGAAAAATAATAGAAAATTTTTAGAAACGAATCTGCTGAAATTTGAAATAGGCTATAATATTCTACACAAAATTCTGCATCTTTAGATCATCTTTTTCAAAGTGTTAGAACAAATATTTGAGGGAAAATTTCGAAATAAAAAATGTCGATGCACCGAATAAAAGCTGATTTCGAAAAAAACTGAGTCATTGTTTTTGACTGACTCAAATTAGCCTAAGTTTTTTTTAACTATTCAAGTGAATTCATGCACCATTTTGTTCAGAATTTAATTAGGCATCTGATGATATGAGATTCAGCATTTATAGAACCACTCTGAATTGTGATAAGATAATTTTTCATAATATATCCCAAAATATTCTCAGATATTAGTTCGCAACTTTTATTCTCTCAAACAAAACACTTATATACAATACTTAACTCTTAGTATCGATCTTTATGAGCGCACGTTCATACAAATAGTTTTTTATCTTTAGCAAAATAGGAATTCGCATTTTGGGTGTGGGTAGGTGTCACTAAAAGTAGAATGCATCTACACCGAAACCAAAACCCACATCCAAACCAGTTCCTAGATCGAGGAGATTTTTTAACCAGAAGAAAAGTCTAAAAACCAGGATTCTCCTGGCTAAATCAGGAGATTTGGCAGACCTGGTTCCAGCTAGCACGACAGCGTTTTGCTGGGTAGTGACGTTCAGGTCTTTCTTCCCGATTGTTTAGATCGTGAAGCTGATTTTGAAATCTGGATTTTGACATAGATGTGACATTGGCTGCAAGTTGAAAATGATGTTTTCTTTCATCTATCTTTGCAATATTATTTCTTGTCACAGTAATATCTTTGTGATCGGATGGAAGTATTTTTCTTTCCTATTTAATGACTGTTGATAATATTTCAATGCACGATCGAGATCATTCAATTCGTGATATATGGCTGCAATGTTGTTCAATGTCATAGCAGTATCAATATGATACGACGGTAAAAAGTGTTGCTGAATTTTTAGCACATTTTCATAATATTGCAATGCATGTTTATATTCTCCAGTTTCTGTATATATATTACCAATATTCATAAGTGTTGTTGTTGCTTGTATATGTTCTTTTCTATAATATTTTTCAAATATTTCTATAGACTTCGTATATAATTCAAGTGCCCGATCGTATTGTCCTTGTAGATGATAAACAATACCTATATTTGTCAATGGTTTCGCTGAATCTTTTATTCGCATTGGTTTATTATTCATCATTAAATTATAAACTAGTTCATAGTATTCAAGTGCCTTCTCAAAATCACCTTTATTATAATACGTTGATCCAATTAGATTATTAATTTTTGCGATATCATTCTTTGCTGTATGATCACTTAATAATAAACTTTGAAAATATTTTAATGATTGATCATATTGTCCCATATCAATTAGTAATTTGCCAAATATAAGTTCAATACTAAATTCTTCTTCTCCTTTTCTATTTAGTTCGATATATTCTTTAGCAACTTTTGATTCTTTATCACTAGCTCTTAGTTTAATTGACCACAGATGTAATTCTACATCTTCCTTAACGAAAACTAATTCAAATCTTGATCCCAGATCGAATAAAACTTCTAATTCACCTGCATAATCACTAAATTCTGCAATATCAGCAAAGATAATTGAGTCTGTTTCTTATATATTATATTCTATTTCATATAGAACGGAAACAATCTCTGAACATTTGCTCGGTTTTGTAGCGAACTTAAGTGCGACATTTTATGAACGACTTGTTGATAGGAAACCATTTGTTGAAATTAAACGATCTTCATTTTGTTTTAAAGTTTTAAGTTCTTCTTCTTCCATTTTTAGTCCACGATAAAGCATAATGATTTTTTCATCTGTTTTTTGCAATTTTTCATATTCAATAGCAAGACTAAATGATAAATCAGCAATAAAAAATCGAAATATATGTAACTGTTCAATGTCTTCAGTTCTCAATGCTCTATTTACTATTTTATAGAGAAATGTGTCTTTCGTATACCATCTAATAGCCATATTCGATTTATAGTCATCTTCAAATTCATGAATAAATTTTAATTCTTTTTCATTTCCACAATCATAATGTTGACAAAATTCAATCATTTGTTGTTTTGCATGATTATCTCTCGGTAATCTCAAAATGACATCTTTAAACATTTGAAATCATAGAAATTCAACTGATTCTTTTGATAAATCTCTTCTAGATTTTTGTTTATGTTGATTAAAGAAATTGATTGTTTCTAAATATTTTTCGACGAGAATAGCATTTTCTTTGAGAGAATTAAGTAAATCATAACGTTTAATATAAATTCCAATTAGTTTCGTATATTTTTGTAATAGATCTTGATATTTTTCAGGTTTAAAACAAAAAAATAAATATTGAATCAACTTGTCTTAATGTATGAACTTTTCTTAAAATTTTTGCAGCATTTTTTCCAGATGTAATAAGAAATATTTTTTCATTTGTAATTGATTTAATACTATCAATACAAGCTTCTAGTTCAATATGAAACACAACAAAATTATTGATTTCTCGCAATTTCTTCATCGTTTCTTTCGTATCATTAGTTTTATCAATATTTGAATCATAGCAAATCAATCGAATACTTTCCAGATTTTGTTGTGATTTCACGTCTTTAGCTATCGTTGATAATGAGGTCGATGCTAGTGAATGTGTAAGCTCCGGAGTGTTTGAAGAGTCATAAAACGTAGTTTTACCAACGACTGTAGTTTTTGCTGAAGAGCAACTCACATGAGATTGTTGCTGTTGTTGCAAATCTTCACCATTATTCTTTAATGGCGAAACTATTTCTTTGAATGTATCTGTCGATTGTTTTTCTGACTGTTTTCTCATAATAGTTCTTAAAAAGAAAAGGGTATCATCTCTGTTGAATGATGAAATAAGTATATATACCAGGTGTTTCACAATGCTTGCACACGTTTTATTTTGCATATGTTTCAGCATCGATAAATGATAAGAACTTGATTTTTGTAAAGATATGCCATCGAAGCTCTACAAAATCTACATATAAAAATCTCTATTGACTTTCTCTCCTGATTTTTTTTCTAAATGGATGTGGGTGTGATACTGAAGATACCGTACACACCCACATCCATTTAGAAAAAAATCAGGAGAGAGAGTCAGTAGAGTTGTTTTTTAATTGATTTTGTAGAGCTTTCGATGGTACATCAAACAAAGAAATCAAGATTTTATCATTTGTCTCTGTTTGAAATATATATGCAAAATAAAACGTGTGCAAACATTTTGAAACACCCAGTATATAACAATTCACACTAATAACATTGAGCATGGACATATCCGATCTTTAGTTTATAAACCTTGAGTATCTATATGTATGTGTGACTGCTGTTTTCACGTTGTTTTAATGATTAATAAATATCTAATCCTTGTCGTTCTTTCAGATGAAACTTTTAGAGAGACGAGAAAGTCATTTGATTACGTTTGTAGCTACATCCGCAGTCATGCTCACAGGAACCAACATGGGTGTGGGTGTTAGTTTCTTTTTCGCACACCCACACTTCCACCCTCGTTACTGGTGGAGCAAATATTTATGTCTTCCTAAGTAGTGGAAAGTTCTTTGATCCATCAACAAGAACTTGGACAACTACTGGTCGCATGATTAGGCAACAAACGATGCACACAGCATTCGTATTAACAAATAGAAAAGTATTAGTTGTTCGTGAAGGAAAACAAGAGTCCTCTGGATGGTACTGCTGAATTGTATGATCCATCAACTGGAATTTGGATAACTACTGACAGCATGAATAATGCACTATATGGTCACAGAGCATCCACATTAAGAAATGGAAGTGTTAGTTACTAGTGGAGAAACTTTTAGTGTTATTTTTAGTAGTGTCGAATTGTATGACCCATTAATAGAAACTTGGACAACTTACTGGTAATAGACCCATGCATGATATGATTACGCAATGACTTCATTAACAAATGGAAAAGTGTTAGTTACTGGTGAATGGTCAAATGTTAATGTGGTTCGAACAGTGCAGAAATATATTAAACATTTCAAACAGTAAATACAACAAGCAGCTTTTGATGTTTCATACCATGGTTCTTGTTTGCGACCATTATCCTTCAAAACCCGATTGTCTTCATATTTGTTCATTGTTTCATATTGTGGCTTTGGGTATTGTCTGTAGAATTTCCTTTCTGATCTATGATCATAATAAGCTATTCAAATTTTCTACAGCAGTTTTGTGAAATACGATTGATTATGAGTTTGGAATCACATAGTGAGAAAAGTGAACCCTTCTGCCTCTAATCTGGTCTCAAACTTTGTGACAGACAGAAAGAATAGAAAAAATTCTCTAACATTACAAAATCAGATCGAAATAGTCCTGAACAAATCTAATGTACGATATCTTAACTCTTGTTTTTCAGCAATCGACAATTCGATGAAAATTAGTAGCAGAGAAGTGTTTACTTCGAATTCCAATGAAGGAATGCAGAGTTCATTTGCGGAAATGCTTCGTAATCTTTATCAAGACTCATTCATCAGTGCTCTGAATTCTTATGAAGTACACATAACTTTTTACACAAGAGTACGAAGAATAATATTGGTAATATAAAGCACAAAACACTAAGATTTCAAATGCAACAGAAGGAAAAAAGAAGTTTTAATTACAAGCCAAGAATATTGACGACTGCCGAAAGTCAAATGAAACTACATAGAACAGTATCATATTTCCTGTTTTGTTCTTGTTAAGGAAACATCTTCTTGTTGATTTATTTTAAATTTAAGGGTGAGGATGTGGATGTGGACATAGGATTCTTTTCAGCAGAAGCCTGACACTCACACCCACATATTCCACACCCATACCCACACCCGAGACAACCCATTTATATTTTTCAGTGAACAAGCTTTAAGAACTCTTTATTTCTGATTCATATACTTCATTTCATCATATGATTCTCTCCATAGATATTTTTTTCTTTTCATCAAAATCTATGAGAATCCAGCAGGAGTAGCACCAGCACCAACGTATTCCCAATGCCAGGGTTCTGATTGAACAGTACGTGTAAATCCATAATTATGTGCATTATGGTATAACCATTGATAAACTGCACTTCCTCCACAAGATGGTTTAGTACTAGATTGAGAGCCACAGTTCGTATTCAAATCTAAAGCAATGCCACGACCATGATTTGATGTACCTGGACGGGCAGCTAGATTACCACCATTACATGATCCAGTTTGATAGCAATTCCAGAAGTATTGTTGACGAGCAATTGTTCTGAAACCAGAAGAAATGGTGATTATGACGCCTGCTTGTTTGGCAGCTGTAGCCATCTTATCAAAAGCACATGATGTTGTTGTAGTCATCGTATTGTCTTTATCTGTTGGTGCTGCTGAATATATACTTGGATCAGAAAGATGTTCTTTTAGAATTTTCACCACTGAATAGACGATACCATCATTGCCAGCAATCGGGAAAATAGTAGAATCAGCATAATTTCCACAAAGTTCATCTACCAAGAAAATACGACATAATATCTAATAAGTATCTTTTGATGATGAACTTACTCGAAGTAGTTGTTGTTGCCGACAAACAGCATTTAATATCAGCTGGATGACTTTCACATAAATCTGATATGTAAAGACTCTGTGCGCAACTAGAAGTTGGAATACATCTACCAACTTTGCCGTACTTCGAATGTGCATATGATTCGCATGAGTCACCTTGTCATCAAGTAACAACAAAGGACATTATTCAATTACAAGTTAATCTTTTTCGCCTTACCAACAACGGATGTTGTTAAAAAGGCAATGATGGTAAGTAGAAGAAGCATTGTTCTCTATTAGAATGAGAAAGTAAATGAAGTATGTTTGGAAGAGGCCTGTTTTTATATCAAAATCCTGATGAAGAAGCAAAACAAAATAATATTTTACTCTATTGAATTGAAAATCGATATGGCTGATAGAAGGGAAAAAAGCATTTAAATTCCACTAGACGCTTTTTTTGTTTCATTTTTCAGACGAGAAAATATGTGTTTTTGAAGAAAGACGGTATACTTTCTGATTTGATGGACAAATACTAGATAGTTAGGGATGGAGAGAATAACAAAATTTATTAGATATCTCGATGCCTTAATGTTGAAATTGAATGAGTGAAATCAACATTTGATTGTGGAATGAATTTTGTCATTTCAATCAAATCGATTTGACGACAAACATTTCACTTTCATCTCAATCTCTCATGTTTTTTTTCCATAGGATACTCAAGGGTGAGGGCGGATGACAGTAAGGATGTGCGATGAGTCAATCTCATTGATGAATAAGCTTATCAGTACAAATTTCATTCGAGACTTCAATCATTTACTTTGCACCACGACACGTAGTTTTATCCTACCGAGCTTGAGGATGTGGAACTGAGCTCAGCTGGCTATAATCCAGATTTCGAGGGTGTTGGTGGATGTAGGATGTGAATGAAGAAATGAAAGTACAGGCACACTCACACCCGGCCCACATCGACATTCTCGAACTAGCTTTCTCATAGAAGCAATCCTTATGATGCTCAGTCGTACAATATTGACAAATGCATTTCATCGATCTATTCATATGTACATGGGTGTGGTTCTGAACAACTGTACGATATTATAGTTTTTGGTCATCATCTTCGTCCGCGCTTGTCCTTTAAGTTTCCTTTGTTCCTCTTATATCACTGCAGAATTCTGAATAATCTCAGAGTGTAAGTCTGCGCATCATAAAAAGAAAGAAAATGTTCGTCTTCTTCTTCGAAAGAAAGAAAGAAATTTCAAATAGTAACAACTAAAGAAAAAAAAGAAAAAGTTTAATATAAAACAAATGATACAGTAACAATTCATTATTTCTTTTGTTCACTATCAGCTAGTCATTTGGTGTTCTTATACAGTTGGCTCAAAAATGGAGACACTGGCCGAGACTGGAAGTTAGGGTTTTTTGGCGCTTTGTCGACGACGTAAGAGGGAGAGAAGAAAGGTGCAAAAATAGAAGAGAATAGCCATAAGAACACATATAATTAGCAGTGTGGGAAAATGTTTCGGATTTTTATCCATCACATCACCTGAAAACAAAATTTGAAGACATTATATTTTCAGGCAAAAAAAAATTAACCGACCAGCAATGGTATGACATTTAATCGTTGATTAATAAAAGCAAATGATAAAGGAAAGATTGGAGAGAAAACGAAACCAGTGAATGAGCCGAGAATAAACAAACTATAAATGGATAATTCAATTGTCCACATATAAATCATCCATGTTATTGTCAATGTCAATCCATCGATTCAAAGCACAATCGATGCTCTATCAACCGACAGAAATAGAGTCATCACAGCGCAAATCAAACAACCGATCTGAAGAAAAATCTGTTCTCACAACACTGATGACGAACTGAAAATTTGACTTACAGAATACGAGAGCCAGTAGAGAATCATGCCTACAGAGGCATTTTTCGTTGAAATTTGAAACTGTGCTGATTTCATGTAAGCAAAATAAAATCTACCAAATGTTTGATCGATAGTAGTGACAAAAAAACATGTAAACAACCCATAGACTGGACATGAATACTTTGTGATACAAATGATCATGACTATGTGTTTGTGACGAATATTGAGAATAATTGGGTTGAGCTTCGCCAGAAGGTGTCGTATTCATGGCAGTATAATTGACTTATTGCACTTGAGGCGTTTGACGTCGAGTTCGATGTTTACAAATGGCAAAGACCAAATGACCGATGGTTGTCAGCAAACAAAGACTCGCTGCGAGTAAATATGGCATCTTGATATTTGTTGACGATGAAAATGAGAAAGTTTCCATGATAGAATTAGGATTTTAAATGGATAATTCAATCGGTTCTTTGTCGAGAAATTGAACTACGAGAATATTGGCCGAGGCAGCACCAAATCCGAAGCACAAGTGAACCGTATTCAATGGAGTGGACGCATGGCTATCCCACATGGTCAATAAAAAGCTTGTACTACCTAAAACAAACATTATTCAATATCTGCATGCTTGTGAAACCTAAACAAAACTGACCGATATCAGTGAATCCTTGAGAGATTCCTTGATAGAAGGACAAAATTGATAGAACCAACAACGAGTCAATATACGGAATAATAACAACGACTAGAACTCATCAAATGATCGAATGACAAAAGATTTAATTTCACTGATCAGCACATGCAATAGAAGACGCAACAGCAAGTAAAGCTGGATATCGTCGAACCATTTTTTGCTTTGCTACTTCAGCTATATTTTCAGCAATATATTCACCACCTCAAGTAGCTAAAATCGTACGGATTCCAGTGAAAGTTACACCTGTTTGAGAAATCAATATTTTCAAAGTTGGACCAACCAGTTCCGAATGAGTGCCCTATCATCAATCAATAATTCTTGTAGAGAGTAAAAATAATTGAAAGATAATCGATCAGAACAATTCAAGTGATTACCAGAACACCCGTTTTGAGCAATTCCCAAAGTCGAAAGATGTATACTTGCAGACCTGCCATCTTTTTTGTCTCGACTCTATCGTTCGATCTTGAAGTCATTGATTTTCTTCTTCTTCACCGACTAACAATCAAACAAACGCTAGTGACGAAATGCAAAAATAGAAATCAAATTCATGTAATGTTTAGCATTGAAAAAGTAATGTCATGCATCCATTTCTGAGTGACAAAGATCCCGATGAGTGTCACTCTATGCGAATAAAAGAATTCTAAAGAGCAATATACAACATTCCTCTTCTTTGAAACGCCTGGACCGTTATGTCATTCACCATTCTTCCTCGCATATATATGTGTCCGTCAGTTTTGCCTGAAAATATAGATATTTTTGAGAAGAGAACGACAACAATATCAATATAACGTAAAAGACATACTCACACAAGCAATATCAACTAGTACCTTGCTTTATTGAGGAAATTGAAAGAACAAAAGTAACGGTAAGAGACTGATCCTGACAAATTCACTTGTTTTTTTATGTTTTGCTCTTCTGATATATATGCGTGCGCATTTTTACATCATATCAAGTCATACTACATAGATCATGTATGTTTTTCTGCTTGTTTATAACTATTGCAGCGTAGTTTCTTAACTGGTTTATGGTTACTTTTGCAATAAGGTTTTGAAACACTGTCTCTACTCCTGCAGTGATGCTCTCCCTCATATTTTGAAGTTTACAACAGCTACATCTTTCTCTATGCACTTGGATGAAGTAGACAATAAAACCATTCAAACCATCGAATAATGATAATATCGATGCTTGCCATTTATTCATCGACGTAAATGACCTTGATAACTCTATAGCGTTAAAAATAATCTGTTTATGATGGATTTAAAATTAAAAAAAGTAAGTATCGAAGTGATACAGTATAAACTGTGAGAATAAATCTACTTATCATGAAAATTTATCCAACAGTAAGACAGACACATGAGCACGTTTTTTTATTCTAGGGAGATCTCAGCTATGGACATGTAACATCTCGATATAAATCCAGGAGCGAGAGAGCAGTAGAAAATAAATAAGAAAATATGGAATAAATAACTGCTGTGAATATCATTTTTTGGGGTGTGCGTGTCGGTGTGTGTCTTATATTCATTCACACCGATATCCACATCCAAACCCTATGACAATTCAAGGATCCCCCATGTGCATTTCTAACCATACAGTAACATTCTAATAAAATATCATTTGATGATTGAATTTTTATTGAAATGATCAATCAGTTGTTAATAGTAAAACTGTCTACTGTATGTTCATACCGGTCTTGACTATATTGGCTATTATATTCAGAGAAATATATTCTTCATGGTTTTATTCGTTTATTGAATACTATTAATGATGAAATACAAAGGATATGATACTTCTATGCTTTCAAAATCACTCGAAACAATTAATTATGTAACGATCAGTAGTTTTTATTATATGAAATAGAATATCGACATGTTTTGATCTTTTAAAAACTATCTAACATTATTAATATTCTTTTGGATTCAATTTGCAGTTCAATTACATCGATTATTTTCTAAATATTCCGCAATTTATCAAGATAATGGCAATCGATAATATACAATCTAGTGATAAATTTTTTAAAACATAATAGCGAATTCGAAATAGTGAACTTCAAAAAAATAAACTAGATATAATAATCGAAAATGAATTCAATTATTGAAGTATCATTTCAAGTATTCTGCTATTGAGTTAAATTTTTCTCATAATATAAAACAAAAGGTAAACTTCATTGTATCAACATAAACTATATTTATATTTAGTAATCCAGTTAATGTCAAGCTGAATCATGTGAAAGTGCAATCGTTTATACGGTAATATATATACTATTTATGCTATTCGGACCATCCACTTGAAGGTACATGTTAATTTATTAAGTGAAAAATAATATTAACTTCAGCTTCTTTTAAAATCAAATCTAATTGAATGAATGAATAAAAGAACTATCACGTAATTCGTCTTAGGTTCTTTTCGTTTTCAATTTCATATCTTGACTGTATGAAGAATGTTAACATGAATATCGAAATAGAATGGTGTATGTCTTGAATAGATTTAATCTGCTTTTGCTTCGTCTTTGAAAGTCAATGGAAATCTGGCAAATGACATTTATCTTTTCTAGTTGGTCGATATTATTCATTTGCACATAAATAATGAGAAAGTATAGTCGATTTCATATGTTGTTCTTATTATTTCTCTTTCAATATAGGATGAGACTAACGTACGTATGCACATACATCGCCTTTGAGCCGATTTCATACGATTTATTCTATGAAATCAGTTTTATATTATTGAACTGAAAGAAACACAAATCTAAATTCTGATTAACATATGTTATTTTTGGACAATAGTGATAATCAAATAAACGCTGCATTTTAGATGAAAATTCTCGAAAACATATTTCTAGAAATCGAATGTATAACTGTCAATATTCTATTTATCATATGTCTCATGCCTTAAACTGTATGCTAAATATTAATTCAATCATGAACTCACGATTACTCTTTCAACAAGACAAAAGTATTCGTCTGTCTATGACAAACTTATGGCTGACTAACGATATCTAAATTTGAAAGTAATAATGAAGACAAAAATAAACTGTTTTCCAAACATCATATAATGGCCAAGACTGACGATAAAAAATCCACTTCACAAATGAAAACGTGACGTTCTTTGTATATTGGATTCGCATCTCTTTGTAAATAAGCACCCTTATTTAATTGAATTGCAAATACTATTTACGAGTTTCAACACAAATTGAATAAAAATCTATTAGCACTACGACATAATGAGAGTTTCTACTCCATGAATAAAGGAAGAAAGATTCCATCTGCCTCTAGTTTTCATTCAAAAATCGATTTTTCAATACAAAATTTTTCAAAATGTCCCTAAAAGCTAAATCTCTTGCGATGGTTAGAGATGAGACTAACAAAAGTTTTTGTTTCTAAATCTGTTGAGATAGCCACCATTTCAAGTGCTACATCAAACCATACGAGTTGATGGAGAATTTGATTTTTCGACGACTTGAATAAATTATACCTCTATACTTCTATAGAGGTTTGACAGATAATCGACCTATCGTAATCATTAGAAGTAACAGTGATATAAAACTATTAGAAATAAAGACAATAAATCAATCTGATCAATAAATGCGTCAATTCAGAGAATTTGAAGATTTTTTCTAGAAATCTGGATATCTTTAGGCGACAAAAAAATATTAGGGTAGATGAGAGTTTAGCTTGAGACCATGTGATCAGAGAAGAATCTCCGAAACTATCAATTATGATCGGTTCATATTACAATCCTATGAATTTTCTGTATAATTATCGAGATATAAATTGAGATTATTGAAAGAAAGTCATTACTGTTGTCTGATACAACTTTTATATTAGTAACTTTATTCATTGCATAAGATGAATATATCATGAGATCGAGTGCGTTTCGTACTATTTGTTTATATATAATATGTGTAAAAATAAACAAAGTATGGCAACAAAAAAAAAACACAAGGAAAGATTTCAACTATTCTTCACTGTATCATTTAGTGTGAGCATATCAATGAATATTCAAAATTATAATTGAGTTTATTTCCTTGAATAAATCACAGTCTCATAATCAAATCATTCCTATAATTTAATTCGATAGATTTATTTTGATATAATAATAATGATGATCTATATGAATAGAAATCGAATAAAAATAATAATAATGAGTGAACAAAATTTGAAAATTACTGTTGTTTTATATCAGAATTAGTCTGACATGACATTGTTAAATTATTCAGTGAAATTGTTATATCTTTTTTATTGTTATTTTTATCTCTTGGTTTCAATATATGACAATGAACATCTTGATAATTAAAAAGAAGGAATGAATAAATAAGAAGAAAACATATCCTACCTGTAATAATCGATGTATATGATTGTGTCAATAGAAGAAAACATTTTCGAATAGAAATATCAACTTCTACAGTTGTATAAGGTGGAAAAATAAAAACTAAAAAGTATAGAATATAATACACAAGAGAATATAGAAAAGGAAAGTTTACAATAGAGATTGATTCGATGTAATGCTTCCATCATATTTGAATATAGTAACGGAACAGATTTTAAATGATGTATTAAACTTATGAGAGTTGTTTTTGATAATTCAATTTGACCCATTTTGGAAATTGTTGCAGCAATACGCCAACTGTTAATACATAACAAAATATATTCTGTATATTTATTATTACTCTAAGTGATAGATAGTTTTTACTTATTCTATCGAAAAAATTTCATAATTTGTGAAATTAAGTAGGATCTAGATTATGTGTAAGTCTCTATGAACTTAGAATATGCAGAAAAGATTCTGTTTGTTAACTCGTGATCTCTACACCGTACATATAATTTTTAATTTGAAAGAAAATTTTATCAAATTTTATTCTAATTTCGAATCAACAATGTGATATAACTTGCAAGACTAAAATTCAGATAGTAATCTTGATAGTAAAGCTTGAGTTTCTTAAAATAGTCATTGGTAGATTGCGATACCAGAAACAATACTCATATGTGTTTGTTTTCAATGATTATTTCTAGTACATTCTGTAGATTCAGTCAGGAGAATGAAAATGATTTATAAGTTTTCTTATTCTTCTAAACAGATAAGATTTATTCGTATTTCTTCAAAAAACTGTCAGTTCAAGTGATTTTCACTTGTTTACCAATTTTTTAATGATTTCAAAATATCGATTTGAATATATGATAACATAGGATGCTATGAACATTATATTAGCTCATTCTTTTCACTAATAGTTGCTTCTGTAACATTATCTTAATTAACTAAATTAGTCAATTGACCGAAAGCAGCTGGTTTGGCTAATGTTAGCAACTTGAGAGAGCTCACTTTCTACTTACTCTGTCAAATAGGCATCATCCGAATAGATACATTTGTAAAAATTGATATCAACTAATGGTATTGATCGTAATATATGTAATTGTTGTCTATCTATGAAATAAAATAAACTATGAATGATTAATTGTAACTAGAGAAAGATCAAAATACCTGATTGTGAGTAAATAATTTGTAGATTGCGTAGTCTCAATTTATATTTTGTATAAAATCTTAACTGTTGTGCTTCGTCCTACGTAAACAAAATTCATTTGTTTTTACTTTTAAAAACATTTAAAATAATACAACAATAATTAATTATTATCATAGTCTATATAGTAATCAATATATAAATCTTTCTCTGCCTACTCGTAGCTCACATTAAACCAATAGTTGCATGGAGCTAGTTTTTATTACTGGGGAAAGTTGAATAAAACAGTCAGTGACATGAATTTGAAGACTCTTTAAAAAAAAAACAACCTTCTTTTTTCAATATATTGATTAATTATTAAATGGTTGGAATTTACTATCCAAAAAAAAACTAGTCAGTGCAGCTTTTTCAGTGTTGAAATGTGGAACTTATAATTAATCTGAAGTTTCAAAACAGCGTATTAAATTAATATTGAATAAATGAATAAATCAAAGTTATAAGAATTTTAATATTTAATAAGCGCACTCTGAAATTTTATTTTATCAATACATCCCTAATGCATAATTTGTATTTACGTAGTAAAGATAATATTTATACGAGGCATCTGAAATGTTAATAAATACTACAAATATATTAAATAAGCCATTAATTAATTGACTCATAATTTCCCTAATTATCTAATTAGTTAATTTGTTTGAAATGATCTGTAATAAGGGGGGGGGGGGGAAGGGTAACAGTTGCTATGGAAACATATCCAATAATCTATGGTTTCGCGCCATATGGTTGCTATGAGATCTTTGGAAAAGCCTTTAGTTTTCCGCCATCTTGGTAGCTAGGACCTGTGTGGGAGCCATGAACCCTTGACCTTAAAACTTACACTCACTATTTTCTTCGAAAATATACATGAGTTCCAAAAAATATACCTTGGATAATGAATTAATATCATCTTTATTATTATCTAAACATGATTTTAAGACCAAATTGTCCAAATCAATATGAATCATGGCAGAATGTCTATAAAAACAAGTATATATTAGACAATTCGAAGAATATTTTAACTCACTTATAGAATATACCATTTTCTGGTAAAATTAATGAAATTCCTTTTAATTGCATTGTCATATCAAAAATTTTTGATTGAGAAAGATCTCGTTCCATTTCTTCAATAGTTCTTCGTTTTATTCTATATAAAGAAAAAAAAACAACAACAAAGTTTTGTTCTATAAAAAAAATCAATTCAATCAACAAACTGTGATAATGTCGATATAAGTTTATCATTATTTGGATCAAAACATTCAACAATTTTATTAATTGTTGGCTAGAAAATACATAGAACAAGAAAAAATAAATAAATAACAATTATTATCATTATAATTCTAAAGATTTCAAATTTAGAGTATCAAATCTCTTAATTTTCAAGTATTGTCTACTTTATTATTCAATATATATTAGGATTGACGAACTCCTAAACAACTATTTGCCTTAGATTATCCAACAGAATGTAAACTTACAGCATCATAAGTAATTTTTAATGGTTCGAGAACTAATAAAAGACGATAATCAGATTTTTTATCAATTGGCGAAAATTCTAATTCGCTATGTATTAATGGAAGAATTGTTGTGGAAGCTGCTGTTACTAATAATGGTCGATATTGATTATCAGTTTGCATACCAAATAAAGATATTGATTGAAGATCAACTTTAAATCTAAATATCAAAAATCGAAAATCAATTGAATTATATTTAATTATTTATACAAAATATTTGATGAAACAGCTCGTCGTTTTAAATCTAATCGAGCATCATTAATTTTAATTGGACAAAGAATTTCATTTTCTGTTGATCGAAATATTTCCGAAGTGTTATTTGTCTTTGGTAAGGATAAATTCAATATGAGATCATTAACTTTAACTTTAATATCAATGTTAGGTGACTATAGTTAAAATAGATTATTTAAATAATCATTATTAATAATAACTTACATCTTCAGAAAAAAAATCTCCACTAGTTGTGATAGAACTAGATGTTGATGACTTTCGACGTTCTAATATAGTATAATGTATATATATATATATAACATAGGAATGAATTAGAATATTCTATTTGAATGGTATTCACCCTCTCTTGAATGACTTTTTGTTTGCCACCAAGTGTTCCACCATTTTTGATTGCTAGTAGTAGGAGGAGGAGCTGTAGAAGTTATTATTCGATTTGTTTTTATCGAATGACGATGATGATGGAGATGATGATGATAATGATTGTAGTGTCGATGATGATTATGGTGATGTCCTATATCTTTAGTTATTGGAGCAGAATTTGTTTCTATTTCAACACTATGACGAATATAAGCCAAATTGAATACATCTAATTTTGTTTCGAGATACTTTTATATCAAACAATAGAATTATATTATGAATATGAAGAAGAAAAAAAAACTTACTTTTAGACGTTCTTTTTGTTCTAATGTCAATTCAGTAATATTTAATGTTTGTTGTAATTGTAATTGTAATTCACGATATTCTCGACAACGATCTTTATATAAATAAAAAGTATAAGAATAAGAATATGATGAATTATTCTTACCATAAATTTTACTATAATTTTGAAATTTAATAAAATCAAGTAAATCAGAAAATTGTTTTGGATCAATATTAAGACTTAATTGTTCGATTTGAATATCAATATTATATGCTGGACGTTCAAAATTATATTCACCTGGTTGTAATATTATTGTTAAATTAATGATTGGATTTATTGGATAAAGAACTATGTGAAATAAATAAGATTTATTTTCGAAGAAATTTTAATAATATATATACAAACGATAGTTCATTTCGTCTGTTTTTGGCATATAACTATATGTAGCTATTTTAGATTTTAAATCCTCCTAAAATATGACAGATGATATTTAAATTTTTTAAACTATTGAAACATCTGTTGTACATTGTTTTTATCTTATTTCCGTATACATTGAAATTTATTTATGTAAAAGTTTGAAATCTTATTATATTATGCAAATTGTTTTGTTAAAAGTAAAAAAAAAAATGAAACTTGCATTAAAATTTCGATAGTTTTTCACTAAGAAATATGAGCTGATATAGATTGAAATACTATGATTTTTAAGAAAAACAAATCTACAATAGAGATTTTAAAGCTTTAAATTTCCAAGATGATTTTGTGAGATTGTTTTTCTTCTATTTAGTCTAAAAAAATCTTTAGAAATAAGAAGATTTTAAAAAAGTCTCATAAAAGTTTCAACTATTGCTGTCAAAGAGAACAAGAAGGATTACTAAACTAAGCTCTCCATCACTAATATATACGTTTATTTATTTAGCTGCACATGGGAATGATAATCTAGGAAAATTGTCCGCGCAAGACTTTAAAATCTCGATTCTTATACATTAGTCTTTCGATCCTATGAACTTATTTTCAGTATCAAAATTTTTCACATAGCTTCGTAAAACCTATTCTGATATACGAAATTCAATATATTCATTATTTTGTTAACTAATGTTTGCAATTAACAATCTGTTAGTTAACATGCAAAGCAATTTTTATGTAATGTCTTCTAAATAAATTAATATTGAGTTATTATTTCTTTAGTATTCTTTATTCGATTATTTAGATCTGTAGTGTTATTTGAATATTAAATACTAACCACAACATCATCAAATGACATATCAATTCTTGATTTACATTTTGTATTCCAATAGAGTGAAAGTGCATGAATTTCTTTCATCTAAAATAATTCATATAAATAATGTAATAAAAAAAGAAAAATTTTTAACCTTGAAAATTACAAGTGAATTCTCTTTAATTCTTCCAATTGATTGATGATTTGTTGTTGTCTAAATAAATAGTTTTTTTGTATTTCTTGAAAAATTTTATTATTTATATTTAAAAATTTTACAGTCATTTCAAGATGATGTATAGTAAGTCCAAATGAAAATGGATGTCCTAATTTTGTTGTTGATATTGTTTCATAACTAATATGTAAATTTTCAATAGTTATTTCAAGATTTTGCATTATTTGTAATCTCATTCGTTCAATAAATGTTGTTTCTTTTTCATCAAGTTTTTTATTATCTTAAATAGATTTTATTAAAAATAAAAGACAAAAAATTTGAACTATACTAACTTAATGCTGCTTTTCTTAAATTATCAACTTTTCGTTGAACACGTCGCATTTTGTCATCGTAATATTCTGTTAAATCTCGACGAACTTCTACAATAATGAACAAAAAAAACAATTTTGAAGATATTTCATAGAACTTTGACAATTTATGGTTTTGAAAATTCTGATAAAAATCAATAAAAATAATGGTAAAAATTAGTAGTAAATGCTCGAGTATCTAGATGCATTTGACCTTCTCTTCTGATTTCAAAACGTTCGATTTTTTGCTTTCATCTTTACAAACATTTGATATTTTGTCTTTATAGTCAAAAACTTTTTACAATCGAACACTATTTCCCAATTCAAATAATGTATCAGAAAATATCAAAAATATTTCATAAGTTACTACCATTTTTTTATTTTTTTAATGGATTTTGAAAATATCTGAAGGTGAATAGGTATTAAAAGTATGCGCATATAGAAAGATTAACATTTAAGATATCATCGGCAAAAAGAAAACATTAATCTGTTTATGTCAATAGTAAGAAAGAACTACATTGGTAAATAATCATCAAAAATTATCTACTAAAAACGATAAAAATAACTTGAACTTAATACTTAAGCAACTAACTGCTATTTCGTTTCATTCGAATTAATAACAAAAAAAATTAATGTAATTAATAACTTTCTTTTTTTAATATATTTAATTGCATACTGATTACATTCTCATTTGTATAATAGTTCATATGTAAGTCTTTAAATAAACGTTTTTTTTATTTTATATTGATTGTCTGTCTTTGAATATGAAGAAATTCACAAATAAATAAAAACAATACAAAAAGTTTTTCTTTTACTATTATTACTGTCATGCGGATTTCCCTTTTATGTATTGAATGATATTAATTATTTTCCTGTTCTTCACTTCTTTAATAAGAACGTTTTTTTTTTTTGCTTCCTTTTTTCTTTTGTCTTCAGAATTAATCTTTGAAATATAACAATCAAGTCAATTGTAATAGTTTAAAAAAAAAGTAGTAGACATATACCATATATATAATTAGCAAAATTACTCGAGAGTTTGTTCTAGACAGAGTTGTTGAGTACAGATAAAAATTTTTCTAGGTTTTTTTTTTATCATGAGAACGTAGAATGTGTTTGAACATGCACGACATGACATGTGTTAAAAGTGAAAAAAAAAATTCCAAATGTCTTTAATATGATGTGTGCTAATGAGGATCTTTCATTAAAAAATAAAAGTTTGTTTTTTTTTATTGTCATCATACACTATCAAATTTATATGATTATTTGAATTTCAAAACAAAATATATTATCATTTTCTAATCGCTTTATAAATTTTAAATCTAATATTAATTGATTAAGTTTGCATAAGTGTTAACAATAATCTATGGGTTTCTTTTTTTTTTGAATATTTTAAAACGCTGATATTATTCAATCTGATAACTATATTCTTTTTTTTATCATAAATATTTCAAAAATCTATATTTATTTGATTAGAAAAAGTCATTGGCACTGAAGCTTAATTTATGACGTATATTTGTTGAAGAAAAAAGAAAATATTTCTATTTTTATACTCCATATATATATCAAAGTCCATAAATAACGTTACTTTAGAAACAATAAAAAAAAAAATATTTTTAAGTTTTAAATGATTCATTTACCATCTTTTGGAACAATCAACATATAAAATCCATTAATTTGAACTTTTGTTGGTATTCTATAAAGATTTTTCCATGGAATAATTAGTACTAGTTTTTCTATAATTAAATTTTATTCTATTTTTTTTATGTAATAAAATATAATAAGTACTTACCAATGCAGCCAGTAGCTACAGTGACAGGAAGACTTAGATCAGTCTAAAATAAAATAAATATCAAATATATATTTTCAAATTAACAGAACTTACTAAAGCTTCAGGTTTTAAATGAAGTCTTTCCAAATAAACATGTCCTTTACAGCAAAAAAACAAATACAACAAAAAAAAAAAAAAATCGATAAATCATATAATAAAAATTTACCATTTTTAAGATCAAGTTTAACTTTTTCATAATTTAATTCTTCAATATATTCTTTTAAATATTTATTAATAATATAACGAATAAGATTTTTTAATACCATCCTATCAAATTTTTCTACGTAATTATAACTTGTCGTTTTCTTTTTTTGTAGAAATAAATGTACATGATTGTCGATCTAAATAAGTGTAGAACGAAAGAAAAAAAAAATTAATATCAATAGTGTGTTATTCTTCATATTTTTTTTTCTTCATTCTTTTTTACCTTGACAACTTCTTTCTTTTTTTTTTTTTTTTGAAGGCGAGCAGAAAGCACAATAGAATAAAGGAAAAAAAAAGAAATAATAGATGGAATAAAGTTTTATGTTAATAAATTCCAAAAAAGACATAAAATCATGCTTTATGGTTTGCATTATTTTAGAAATAGTTAATCGAATTTGTTACAGACGTCAGCAATTATAATTATCAAACGTACTACATTTTAAATCAACTAATCCTAATTTATAAATTTCGATATTATAAGAACAGGATTACAATTTTCGAAAAGTATTTGAAGCATATATATTTTTATAAGATGTGAAATTCTCGATCATCCTCTATATGAAGGTCTTTTGAAAAAAAATTGAAAAAAGAAAGTTTTGAAGATAGTGAAAAAATTCAAACTGTTAGAATCTAGTGATGAGAGTATCTTGATTGTATTGTAAAGTACATAAATACACATTAAAAGCATACATATACAAGATAATAGAAAACTTCAAGCACTTTTTGAATCGTATTTTTTTCAAGTATGTTTTTATAATACAGACATATTTTTAATACAAACTGCAATTATTCTTTCTTCCGGCGGCATATTTGCAAGTTAATGTTATGATAGCCGTATACAAAATAAAATAAATACTTGAGAAGGTATTAATCTAATGAAAAGTATGTGTTTGTAGATATATAAAATTTTTCAGTAGATTTCAATATAAACAAAAAGAAGCATATGTATTAAGTCACCAAGAGGTAAGTACGATTTATTTTTGTTTCTCTGACGACGTATTCAAATCACTGAATTTATCTAGTGATAGCATATAATACAGTACAACTAAGTCTAATTGTGAAAAGTCAACTTGTACATTCAACTGAATTCTTCCAAGTCTTGTTTTTGTTTTGCATTTTTACTCTCTTAAATTTTATTCATTTAATGATACAATATACGAGTAGAAGTGTATAAACAGAGTCTTCGAAAATACTGTTGATTCTTTTTTTTTGGCCTATGTAGAAACTGTTTAATATGCCTGAAGAAAAATGTAACTATTCGTTTATTTTATTGATAAACAATTACATCTATGAAAAATAATATTTATTATTAAAGAATATTGTGCGAATGTAACTCTCAATTTATATATAGCACAAGAGAAACTATTTATATCAAGAAAAAGGAAACTTTTTTATGACTTTTACATTTACACTTGAGTAAATATTTTCAGTAGTCAGGAATTATTCACCTTTGTTGACGTCGCCAAAATAAAAATAAAAATAAAATGTCTCGTGTTTCGTTTCTTCCAATTCTATGAATAAGACATAGATCAGAATTATTGTTCATGAATGACATATTAAACTTATGTAGTATATCCCAGTAGGAAATATAAATCAGAACTGAAAGTTGGAAATCCACATTGGTTAAATTCAAGAAAATGAAGTATTGAATGAGTAATTTTCAAAAGAAGGCGAAGACGTTGTATAGACAAATTTTAGAGCTAGGAAGTGTGATGTCACGGCTCATAAGCCATCATTCTTGTTTGCAAGAGTTTATTATCTTTATTAATTATAAAAGGAAATACTTTTGTTTCGGAGTATTACACAATAAGCAAAAATTTTGTTGACAAATTTATCTTCATCTTTTCTTTAAACAAAAAAAGAAAGAGACAACAAGCTTTGTAGTAACCTTTAAATAAATAAATAACGGGAAAAAAACCGTCTATTATAATATTCGTCGAAAATAATATTGATGAATTTCATTATCAATGCTATGGTATCTAATGTTATAAAAGAACTAAAAAGTCCCATATCAAGAGAAATAAAAAAAAAAAATTAGAAATCTTTGTTCTATGTCTATGTCATCATACTATTTTTAATTAATTCGAATAAAGAAAAAAAAAGATAAATCTTATGAAAATTGAAAAGCCTCATATCATCATCTAGAGATAATCGTGGTTAATAGATAATATTGAAAATCATTACAGTGACCACATTGAGATTGATTGAAAAGATTACTATTGATCCGAAGTCAAACAGAACACAAAAGGTAAGTATTCTGTTTGAAGATGATGACGAGCATAATCTTATCAGAATATGACACTTCTTTAAGAGAGTACTTGAAATAAAATCTTAACGCATATCTAGACTCTAGAGAGAATGCTGAATGCCATAGAAAAAAATAGTTTAATCCTTAATTGTTCTTAATGATGTCTACAACTATCATATTCTCAAATCAAAAATCTATCGAACACCTGCACGACTCAACATATCTTGCGCACATAACAAGCCTACTTTGTTTTTCTTTTGCCGTTCTGTTTGCGTTATAATAGTTTATGATTCGTCTAAATAGAAGAGAGTATTTCAAGTTTTGTCCCACGAGTAATTATGTCATTTTATTTGATCTCTATTTTTTTTTGTCCGCGAAAACTAGGAACAAACCAATTCCAACACACTAAATATTAAACTTAAGATAGTATATATGTAAAAGATTTCCAGTTTAGACTATTCAAAGTTACGTCGATTATCAACATATACAAATTGCTTCAATGGGAAAAATTAAAATCAAATCATTACGTCAACGTTGTTTTTCTATTACGGGGAAGATAAAAGAAGAAAAAGATAATTTTCTTCAATATCAACTTTCAATTTTACCAAATAATACTTATACAAATAAACAATATTCATTAAATGAAATACAGTTTATTCAAAAAGCTCGTTTACGAAGCTTTTCTAATTGGCCACATTTTGTTCCTAGTAGTGAAGTTATGTCATCAAGTGGTTGGTTCTATTGTAATGTAAACGATCGAGTTATTTGTATATATTGTAAAATAATATGTCATAAATGGATAAATACGGATAATCCCTATGAAGTTCATGCAAGATTGGCACCTAAATGTCCTTTTGTTTTATCAATATTATCGACATCGACCGAACCTCCTCCATTAGTTACTCATAATCTTCATGGAGAATTTCAACCACGTCATCCAACAATGTGTGAAATAAGGCGACGACAAGAAACATTTAATAATAATAATAATAATAATAATAGATGGACACAAACTTCACCAAGTGTAAATGATTTAGTACAAGCTGGATTTTTTTATTCTGGTATTGGAAATACTGTAAGTTGTTTTTATTGTGGTGGATCATTACATCATTGGGGTGTGAATGATAATCCAAAAATTGAACATGCTAGATGGTTTCCTAATTGTCTTTATGCTAAACATTTATGTGGTGATCATCTTCATAGTAAAATTCAAATGAGAAAAAAACGACTTGCAATAGAAAAAGATAATATTGATAAAGATACTATTATGCGTCTTGTTAATGCAAGACTTGATCTACCTATTGTTCAATGTCTTCGTAAACAATATCGATTTTCTATTATAAGAAAATGTTTTGAAGAACAATGGAAAAATAATCATGATGATTTTTCATCCAATGATGATTTAATAATGGCTTGTTTTATACTTCAAAAACAATATGATATATATCAAGAAAAATCAACTAAATTAATTATTCCTTCACAAAATCAAATGTCAATTAATCAATTTAAAAAAACTCAAATAAAATTCGATGAATGTGTAATATGTCTTACAGAAGAAAAACAATTAGCTTGCATGCCTTGTGGGCATTTATGTGCCTGTGTACTTTGTGGATATGCTCTTCGTACTTGTCCTATATGTAGACAACAAATACGATCATTCGTTCGAATTTATTCTTAAATTATTTATAGGACATATTTTTTTTTTTTTATTTTTATAATTATAAATTAATGTTTTTTCTGAAAGTATTTGTAGAAAAATCAATTAAAATATTTTATGTCATAAAATGATATCAGAAAAAGAAAATAGATCAAATAAATAAATTATTGATAAATAATCTATATAGAATTATTTAAAAATTTTTAATAAGATAGATATCATCAATCTGAATATATTACATTAATAAACAAACTTTTCGATTCTCATAAACGATGTGATTTTTTATTTAGCATTGAGATTTTCGTTATCTTTTACTTGAAAAGAAAAAACATGCGTTTTGATAATGTAGTAATAAGTAACTTTCATAATTTCCTTTATTATTGTGCTAGTGTATGTTGGAATCTCTTTGGTATTGCAATAAATGCTTATTCAATAGGAATATTCTTACCGCTTTGTGACGTATGTTTTTGGTTCCACGAAAATATTCGATTTTGTTATCGCGCATATATCTATATACATACATGCGTAATTCGTGACTTGATTCACTTTACCCACTCTTCACGCATTCACAATATGGGAGTCTGAATCATTTTTTATTCATATTTTTATTGTCTATTTATGACGTATGATCATTGGATGATATATGCTATAAATATTGAATCAAAATACTACGAAACTCAGGAAATTATGAGATGGCTATTTGATTGTAGAACAGCTTTAGATCGGAATTGGAGGAAGAAAAGTTATGAATTCACTGCATATGTAGATTTAATTGATTTGTTGTTCATTTCAATATATATAGTTTAGCGGCTAGATGAATGTCATCATATTGGACGGCAAACTCTGTATCCGAGTTGGATAAGCACAACTTGGAAAGTTCCGTATTGTTTTCGGAGACTTTCTGGTAGAGTATGAATGTAATCTTCTTTCTGTTTTTTATTTTCTTTGTTTGCGTCTTTTTGTCCTCCTCCTCTTCTTCCTTTCTTTTATTGTCCGTCATGGTTTTTTCCCATCCCTTTTCTTTCTTATTTTGTTTTCTTTTTCACCGTTGTCATGCTTTTCTTTTCTATTTTTTCGATCAAGTATTTTCAATATCATTTTAGGACTGAAACGATCAAAGGGTTTTAAAAGCAACACACTTATATATAAATGTACACAAGTGATTGTTCCTGTTTTTTTCTTCTGCCGTCCTACGGAGATACTATCTCTGTTATTTTCTTCATTCCTCACGTATTAGAAACCTCTTTCACTTTTTTGGTTGCCCAATCTAGGATTATTTCTGAAGGTTAATTGTATATATTGATATGTTGATCATTGGAAAGAACGTATCACAATGCAGGATATGACAGAACCTTGTTTTTGAATTAATCTTTTTTACTATTACATAAAAGCATACTTTTATAATATAAGCGCTAGTTTTTGAGTTTTTCGCAACATCGAACTTGTCATTCTTTTTTTTCCGTTAAAAAAATAACAATATAGAAAAAGAAAAGACTTGGTCATGCCCTGCGTTATTGTCTTGTTCTTTCAAACAAAAAAAATAATTGACTATATAGAATGAACGTATACAGAGAGTTTTCGGTTGCTAAATGAGCGATTTTTGACTTTTGTTTGATGAATACCTTCTGAAAACGTCATAGTATGCACATACATGTCAAAATTTCAACGTTGAAGTCAATTACTGAAGAATTAAAAAAAATTTGCACACGGAACTAACACCTTTAAGTCTATTCTTATTTATATTTTGATACTACTCAAAAAGATTTATAGGTTCAGACGTAAATTTAAACAGATCAGGAATTTGGGGCATTTTTTTTATCGTTCTCAACCGAAACGATCAGCCAAATTGACTCACTAAAGTTTCAGTATATTCTAGAAATGTCATGCAATTTGAACATATCTAGCTTGAGATCAATTTTCGAGGAGGAAGACAAAAATCTTTTTTTTTGTTTTTTGAATACGAATATAAAAAAATGAATACAATGTATCAGCATGTTCATATTTTGTTAAGTAAATCTGTTCGAAGAGTTTCAGAATTAGACATTAGACAATTCGAAATATTTATTAACTGAATAGTATACTCATTTATTTTTATAGCGAGATTTTACATTTTCAATTTTTTCTATTGGGTAAAGCCATCCTTTTTAAATTGTCCATATAAACTAAAGATTCAATAAAATAAGCTGCTGCTTTTATCATCTTTTCATAAGCAAATACATTTATATTCCATATCGTATCACATGATTTATGATAACATGGATCTTGAGCAATATTTGGTATATAATATGAATCAGGACCAAGAAATGATGCATAAAGATCACATTGATCTCTTGTTTTTATTCTATCCGTACTTATAAGAAGTCCTTCCACAGCAACC